ATTATTGTATACTGCTCTATTTGAATCTCGAACTGTTCCTCGCTGTCACATTGTGGCTTTGCGTGCGTTTGTTTCTGTATCTTTACTCATGTTCGCTTTGTAATTAATATAGACTATCATATTTTGTATTTTGTTTTTTAATTATTTTTGTGTATTTCTATATATTCGTGCTAACTTTATAATTGGCATCTGTGCTGTTAAGTCTGCATGTAAATAAACACGAATTTAATTATTATTATTATTATTATTATTATTATTATTAATATTGCTCTAGAGCCCTTTGTCGGGCCTTGGCCGCTTATTCAGTTTCTTGACCCTATACACAGTCTGCAGGACTCCTTAGATGGCGGCTCAGCCCGTCGCAAGGTCGCTACCTACACACAGAATACAAATACAGAATAAACGCATACACAGATATCCTTGACTTGAGTGCGATTCGAACCCACGATTCCAGCGCCCGTGCGAGCGAAGACAGTTTATGCCTTAGACCGCTTGGCTATTGTGATCGGCATGGCACATGAATAGCTTTCTCTTTACGTTTCAATCTTTGGAGTCAGGGCAAGTTGTCCCTGTGTTTAATTAGTTGGTACCAGGTCATAAAGACGTATGGGGGAATGGACTTAAAGCTCAACCATTGGATTTTCAATTGAAGTAATCCTTCGAGCCGCACTATGGCCCTGGGTTCGACTCAGCCTCTAACAGAAATGAGTACCAGGAATCCTCCTGTGGAGTAAAGGGCGGCCGGCGCCATCTGTTAGCCGATTGTCTAGGAAATGTGAGAGCCTCGACGTCTCACAACCCTATGGGCACCCACGACCTCTTAGAGGGTTAGCTTTACCTTGATATTGACTTGATTTAAAAATTACAATTGTATCTGTCAGTATCACCTGCAGACGGGTGTGCAGACCGACCATAGTATGTTGTGAGCCGTATCATACACACCTTCAAGAGACAACGCCCAACATGACTATACTGCAATAAATCAAACATTATCGGAAAATGTGTTGGATCTGGAGTTCTCTATGAAGAGTATTTATTATCTTGTGGGATGTGAAGGCGCCATGTAGTCCAGTACAAGTTCATCTGTGTTTCCGATGAACATATTTCCTTCACGTGTAAGATCTGAGGTTTTTTCACGGCGGTGACAATGAAGGATACCGTCTTCTGGGATGTGGCACCGCGTAGAATGGACGATGGACAGAGACCAGAAACCCAGTAATCACGAGTGCTGTGACCTATCTTGACATACTATCACAACATTTCGCTTCGAAGATCTAAGAACCCACTAAAAACGTAAGAATAGCAGGTTTCCGGATCAAAATTCAAGACTGGCATCTCTGCGGTCGGGTCTAGTAATTTGCTTCCGGTGTTCATCAGCAGTCGTTTTTGGGTTTGGTATCCTCGGGATCCACGACCATATTTTTCTGTCTTACTACTCTGAGTCTTTAAATTATCTTTTCCTTCTGGCGCCCCTCCAACACGAACGAAGAAGACTAAATAGTCAGCTGAGAATTCTGATATCAGGGGTTCGAATACAGTCAAGGTTATTTATATTTTAATGGGTATTACTCTTCACTGCTATTCGATCTACTCATCTGTCTTTTTGGGTGAGGGCTGCTACTGTAACCCTTCCATGCAGATGTAACACTTAAGTTATGCGCTAATACGGGGAATATGAGAAATAAAATTTTACCTATTACTCTGGAAAGGAAATATGAAAATCAAATTTCAGATATTTTTCGTATCATGACTGCTACTGGGAGCTTTGTGCCGTTTAACTGTTGTGTCGACAAAGGAACTGATTGTTAACTTGTATTTACAAAACAGACCCAGTATTTGGTTTGCGTGCCCACCAGTGGCATGTCAACTGCTCATAGGCCTACTATGTGAGGTCCTTCCCGTCCCTCGGTCCCCAAATTCAAAACTGATAGACCTTAAGCCTAACTGAATGTAGACCCATTAATTGATATTGATTGATTAACACTGTAACTAAAAAACGACATTTCTGTACCAATAATCTTGAACTCCATTGAGTACAAACAAGCATACTAGCATTACGCACGGGACTTACACTCATGTGACAGCCGGCATAGCGACTGGCTATGGGCTGGACGACCGAAGGGTCGGAGTTTTAGTCCTGATGGGGGCAAGAATCTTCACTTCTCTACGTTGTCCAGACCAGCTATCGATCTGTGGCTCTACGGCCCTTTGTTTGGCCTTGGCTGCTTTTCAGTTTCTTAATTCTATACACAGTCGGTAGGACTCCTCGGACGGGGGATCAGCCCTTCGCAAGGCCTCTACCTATACACAGAACAACACAAACACAGAATAAACACAGATATCCATGTTTTAAGT